CGATGACTTGAGAACTATTGATTGTTAATAAAAGATGGTAAATTAACCGATAATATTGAAAATTATATACTTTAAGTCCACGTTTGTAAAATAAATATTAAACAAAAAATAAAGCAGCTATACCACATAAATAAAAGGATGTATGGAGTTTATTCCAAAACATCAAAAACTATGTTAAGCTGTACGACTATAAACTTCTTTTTATTTTTTAGGTTTTCTCTTACTTCTTTTGCATCTTACGACTATTGTTTAATGAAACATTGTTTTTTTTTATTAAAAACATTATTGTATTATTTATACAGGGTGACTGGTGAATTACTATGAATATTTAAGGAGAATACTCGGTACATGATTCTCATTCGAATTATGTAAAAAAAATAGGTACTTAATTTTTGACCAAATTTCCGTATAAATAAATAAAGTGTGGACACGTTCCAAGTGTTCCAAGTGTGGACGCGTGCGGCGGCGTGCTGATACAACACCACGCCGCCGCACGCGCGTGTGTGTGTGTGTGTGTGTGTGTATACCTAATCTGTAGAGTGTTCACACGATGCGTAATTAATTACATAACTTTTGGTTAACTTTACTTAGAAGTTTATTAATATTTATGTTATATTAATTTTTATTTTGTCATATATGATCGTCAAATATCACGTCCTCAAGTATCGATAGTAATTCACCAGTCACCCTGTATATTATTATAATAATTATACTTCCAATATTATTATAATTATACTTCCGATAAGATTATGACTTATCTTATTTCAAATATTTATTTCAGAATTTACAGTAAATGTTATTATTTGATTTAAAATACTTGTCATATAATCATGTCCATTAAAATTGAAATATTTAAGTCACAATCCTCACCTCGTGTGACAAATGCAAGTAGAGGTAATTTGGCAAATGCTCTGACTGGGATAAACGGCGTCTTTTGAGCCAAGTCTTGAAAATTACTCCAAATTTGTTCTGAATGCGAGTGAAGGTAAAATATACAACCGAGAATTATGTGACTAGATCAAAACATTAACAAAAGGAACTATTCACAAAATAAGTTTAAATATAAAAATCCGAATATAAAAAAACTATACAATATATAAATAGATATTTCAAAATATTGAAACCAATCTCCCATTGAAATACATTAAATTAATTAATTTTATATAAATAATTAAAATATATAACTCTGTCAGCCAGAATGTTGTTTGTTTATATTCGGATTCACAGTATTTAACCAAAGTTTCTCTTAATTTGTTTTTCAGCGTGTCCTACACTCAATCTATTCAAGACTGTTATCCAGTGGTGTCTAATGTCTGTCAGTATAAAATAAACTCATACATCATTTTATCATTTCTTTTAAGTGCTTTGACTATTAAAAGTTTGAAGGAAACTGACATTATCTTGGATTATAATTTATAATTCTATAAAACAGCATTGAATTCTTAATTAAAAATTCTTTTCATTCACATGACTATACTTTTAGTTGAAATACCTTGCCTTAAAAAACACATTTTTTTGTTTATTGTATTGATATTTACTTATAAGGATATCACTGTCCAAAACCTTTATTTGAACAATATTTTAACACTAACTCTTTAGTAATAAAAGTTAAGATCGCTTCAGTAACACGAGCACTAGGTATATGGTTTTATATTCACGGAAGTATTTCAAACATAACCAACTAAAACTATTAAATGGAACGACCTTTGTTTTCACAATTCTATTGCCTCAAAACTCCTGGTGAGGTTTTGCAGTTGTAAATGCGTTATAGCAATGTTTAAATTGCCAAAAAAATCTTGTCTCGGAAATAAAAATTGGTAGTTGAGAATAAAACCACACTTTACTTGATCAGTGTTATTTACTATACGTATGAATATCGTTATTTACCGTAGGTACAGTGAGATTATCAACGATTTTAAATAATTTTAACACTTTACAGCCATAAATAAATCAAAAGTTATTTTAAGAAAAAGAGATCAAGCTATATCTATGTATCTATATATATATAAAAGAAAGTCGTGTTAGTGACTCCACTTATAACCCAAGAACGGCTGAACCGATTTAGCTGAAAATTGGCAGGGAGGTAGTTTAGAACCAGGAAATTGCAATAGGATACTTTTTATCCCCTTCGACAGCATTCCCGTGGGACTTGACATGAAACGTCAGTCACTATAAAACGTAGAATAACACAATTGACAGCTATGCAGTTGACGTACATACAATGACAGATATGTAATGACGTATGGATGACAATTAGATATTTGTAAGAAATCTACTATATAAAAATAAAAATATTTAGGTATTGTGTTTGTAGTTTTGAACTCTTAAAACCCTTTAGTATTTGCGGGATAAATTTAGAAAATCATTGTTTTTCACATGGGCAGTTATATTTTGCGTGTTCACGAATTTGGAAACCAAACGCTTTATTTGTGTTAAAGTTAGACCAAATAACAAAAAATGTGGTTTACAAAGGAGCACTTCAATGAAACGGATAATTTTCGTACACGTATAACGCTACGATTCGGTATCTACTTTGGATTCACTTTCATTTACTTAGAGAAGTTCAACTAAATAACACTTCATTTTTGTAATCGAAATGAATTCATAACTGTTGTGAAATGAAATAAAAATTTTCCTTTTCAAATATAAAACAAAAAATTCTTCATCTTTTAATCACCAAACGAAGTGTTATATAAAAGCCTTCTGGTGGCGAAACGGAGTTCGCCAGGTTTACTAGTATGTATATAAAGCAATCATATATAATTCATCTACACTTAGAGATTCGGTAAGATGATTTGAGTGCAGTCCTTAATTCTTTTAACACCAAGATTTGTAAGAAACATCTACCAATTACGATTATTATTGACCTTATAGTATTCTCTTAGTCTCAGTCGTTTTAGTGCCTGGGTAGCTCTCTACGATCATGGTGACGAAACTAACCTTAAAAACATATATTGTTAACGGAGAACATGTATTTAATGGGAATTAAATTAAAAGCATTGCTTTGGTGAAACTAAAATATATAAACATACATATACTTGATCACATTCTATTAATGTACTTGAAATATATACAAAATAAAAATAATAATACAGTTCTAGTGATAATAACATCTTTGGAGTGAAAACGCTGCTTTATTTATGTATAATATCTATTAATTAATTATTTAACGAACAATTACATTAATTATTCAGGAAACTTCCCGTTTACTTCTAATTACAATTTGTGAGTTTCAACCGCTTGTTTATTCATCTAAATATTTGATGCTCATATTACAGTTTTCATGATAAAAGCCTTAGCTGTATTCTACTGACTTTCTTCATATTTTATTATGACAACTTGTAGGCCTTAAAACAATATGAGTAGTTAGAAACCGCTTCGGAGTTACTAAATATTTGTCGTTAAATTATTCAGATACACAATCTAAATTGTTATAAATTATTTCATTCTAAAGAACAATAGGTATTATTAACAAATATTTTGTCAGGAGTCAAATAAGCATTTAAAATAGGTATTTGTAATAAAAGAAATTTTTGTCAAATTTGTGAAGTAATTTAGAAGGAGGGTCAAATATTTCAACTATATTATTATCAGCAATTCCATGAAGGTTATTAATAATTTTACCTCCACACAAATACAACTGACGAAGAGCCTAGCTGTGGTCAGTTACTACAGCTCGAACATGGGTTGGCTCGACCGGGGAAGTACCACCCTCTCACAGAAGATCGGCGTGAAGTAGCCTTTAATGGCTGCGTTTCGTCCGATGAGTGAGAGAGCCGGTTACCCTTTCCCTATTCCTACCCTTTTCCTACCATTCCCTTATTCCCATCCCTCCTTATCCCTAAAAAACAAGGTTGGCAACGCATCCGTAACAAACATGTTGCGGATGTTCATGGGTAACCACCTTCCATCAATTGGGCCGTCTGCTCGTTTGCCACCTTTCACATAAAAAAAAACATCGTTAATAGAACGTCTCAGATGTGTCGCGGCTTGAACACAAGAAACAAATGATTTATAAAAAAAAGATATAACACAGATTACATTACATTACAGAAAACATAAAAGTAGTTAGTGGTGGCCTAGTGGTTAAAAGGCCCGCCTCTCATGCTCGAGGGAGCGGATTAGCCCGGGCAAGTACTAATGTTATTTTTCCAAATCATATGTACTTTCTAAGATTATTTAGACATCACTGATTAATGCTGATTCCCAAAAGAGGGTTGATGTCAGGCAGGCGGCCGGTCGTAAAACAATTAGTAAAAAAAAAACTATTCACAACGTGTAAGGCAGACCCTTGCTAAAACTGGGAAATTGCCAGGTAGAAGAAGAAGACATTACAGAAAACATAAAAATAAACTTAAATCTTTGTAACTAAATATTTTGTATTCTGTGTATTCTGGTATGTGAACTAGTAGAAGTAACAAATAATTAATATAACACAGCCATTTTTCACAAGAGCAGTCGTCATACTTCACGACCATAATTAATTTAAAAGAAAACGTTTTAATGACTACTCCCTTATCCTCAGTGACCCAACCTCTTGTAATAAATTTATGGAACAAAAACTCTTTCCACAAGTTATGATATAATACCTTAATTATATTTTTTGTGCTGTAATAGTTTAAAAGGGGTGCTATGGTTTATAAAACGTAACTAAAATTAACGATTTTCACTTTTGGGGAATAGTTTACACGAGAAATAAAACACAAACAAACTCAATGAATAGTTTCTATTTGCATTTAGTCATAGAAAAGGTTTTATAATAATTACACATTTAATTACAATAGATAGAAAGACAGCTGACTGCCGGAAAGACGGATGACTGCCGGAAAGACGGATGACTGCTGGAAAGACAGCCGAGGGCGACGGCCTAGCAAGCCCAACCCGGTATACATAAAGCTAAAAGTCCGAAGAAGAAAAATACCCCTGGGACAGTCCGAGAGGGGGGGCGGAAGAACTGTCCACCGGTCGATTTTAACGGCGAAAACGGCGCGAATACGGACTTGAAATGCTCTACGTGCGGGAAAAACTACAAGAGACGAGCCTGGTACATTAAACATCTAAAAACACATAATGGGGTTGAAGCACGACAATCGTCGGTAAGATCTACAACATTCACTTCGGATAGAGTTGACCCTCATGTATCCCATGGTGAACCATTAACTGGAAACCACCAGGAGTCCATTAACATCAGGACACGTCTTAGCATTCCTAATCTAAAACAATCGACTTGGAAAGTGCATGACGACAACTTAGCGGTCCTGTTAGAGCATCCGGGCTCGAAGCAGGAATTGAACTCGCAGGTAGAAACTTTCCAAAATACCGTTTATGACTACTTTAGCGAGCAATATCCACCACGTAATCGTTATGCTCGCAAAAATAATGACAATTCGTTCAAATTGAAAATGCGGAAGAAAAAACGGGAATTAATAAAAAATCTACGTATAGCCAAAGCTCTAGGCGACAATCACCTTAGTCATCAACTAGCTAGGGCGTTAAGGTCAATCCTTAAATTAATCCAGGGAATATCGGCGCAAACTGCAGAATATCGCGATAATTTTGACCGGGCAAAACAAGAAGTAGATTTCGATAAAAACCCTTTTGAGTATTCGAAAACCATTTTTAAGAAAGAACGCGGACAGCTTCTCCTGACCAACGATCAAATTTACGACCATTTTAAGAGCACATACGAAGTGCCTAAAAGTTTAAGACGGTATAGGGATCCAAACGATCAAAAACCTGAATTTCCTCGAATCGAATTCCACGGCATTCCACCAACGCTAGAGGAACTAAGTAGTCAGATCAAGAGGAAGTCGTCTAAATCTGCACCGGGACCCGATGGTATCCCATATATAGTCTTTAAAAAATGTGCATCGGTTCGTAAACACCTCCTAAATATATACGGTAAAATCTGGTCAAGGAAGCAAATCCCGGAGTGCTTCGGGAAAGCAATTTTTGTCCTCATTCCCAAAAAAGATCGAGTTACTGATCCGAAAGATACTAGACCGATAGCTTTAACAAATACTATATCGAAAATCTTTTTTTCGGTTCTACAAACGAGAATGACGCGATTCATGCTCAGCAACAACTATTTTAGGCCAAATCACCAGAAAGGGTTTTTACCCGGGATTTCTGGATGCTTAGAACACAACACCTTGCTGTCGGAGAGTTTAAAAGATGCTAGAAAAAGCGAGCGGCAAATCACTGTTTGTTGGATAGACTTGGAGAACGCGTTCGGGTCGATACAACACGAATTGATGCTATTCGCGCTTAGATGGTACAACTTTCCACCCCTAGTTAGAGATATGATCGCGTCGTATTACTCAAAATTAAGGTTTTCTATAATAACTAAAGAAGGCCCTTCAAAAAGTTTGAGTTATAATGTAGGACTGTTTCAAGGTTGTTGTCTATCTCCAATTGCGTTTAATATCGTAATTAACATCTTAGTAGACAAATTAATCTGTAACGAGAAAAAATGGGGTTATCGGTTTAAGTTTAATAATAAATACACGGAATCCATTTTAGCCTTCGCTGACGATCTCGCAATACTGACACGTAACCCCAAACACTGTCAGGTACTATTGGATGAAGTGGATAAATTCTGTGAGTGGACGGATGGATTGAGGACAAAACCCAGTAAATGTCACTGTCTGTGTCTTGGTAGGCGGAATACAAGATACACCTCATACGATCCGGGACTATCGTTAGGCGGTCAATGCATTTCTACGGTTACGGAAAATGCACCATTTAAATTTCTCGGTCGTAAGATAGATAATATAGGCCGTACTCCATCTTTAGAAGGAATAGTAGATAGCTTTTTGAACGATCTTAACAAGGTAGATAGCCAACTGATAAGTAACGTCAAAAAAGCGTGGATCTACGAGAATTACTTAACTTCACGTTTGAATTGGCCTTTCCTCGTCTATGATTTTAATAAAACCCTTTTGTCAAAGTTAGATGCAGGCGTCATAAAGATGTTGAAGTTGTGGCTCGGGCTCGCTCTAACGGCTGATTCATCGGCGTTATTTAGGGGAAGCAATAGTTTTGGGATGAGTCTAAAAAGGCCATCGGAGCTCTATAAACACCTAAGAGTTTCCAAGAGATATATCCTGGGGAAATCCCATGATGACATAGTGACATCGCTCCCAAAAGATGAAGATGCCCCCGAGCTAGAGTCACGACTTCAATTCCATAAGCAATTTATGATAGGAGCGCAAAGTAACAGAGCGGGGTTAGGATCAAATAGGAAAGTCCAAGATGCGGATATATTGAAGTCTTTTATTCGGCAAGACGAGAATGATAAATATAAGATCCATGCAATGAATTTAGAAATGCAGAACGAGTGGTTAGACATAGGAGATTTTTGCATCCCATTAGCATTAAAATGGCGCACTTTAATTTATGATTGGTCGCCAGCATTGCTAAAATTCTATCTCAATGCGTTCCAGATGACTCTCCCAGATCAGAGTAATTTAGTAAGATGGGGTAAAAGTACCGAAAAAACTTGCTATATCTGTGGAAAGGCAGTTGGAACTGCTAAGCATCTGCTGGTGGGATGTAAGGTACTCCTGGACAGCGGTCAATACTCGCGTCGTCACGATAGGGTTCTAGAAGTCATACGTGAAGCGGTTAGTCTTTCTGTAGCCAGAGCGCAAAAGGGAATAACCACAAACGAACGATCAGTAGGTTTTGTGAGAGAAGGCTCTAGGGCTACAAAATCAAACGTCAAGCCTTACTCCATCCTTAAAGCGGCGTCGGATTGGACTATAATGATGGACACGTATGAAAAACAATATAAAATCCCCGAGGATATTTGTGCGTCGGCCTCCAGACCGGATATATTTTTGTTTTCGCGAATTTTAAAGCGCGTAGTGATGATAGAGCTTACGGTCCCTTGGGAAACCAACATCCCCAAAGACCATACCATCAAGGTCAACAAATATTACGAGCTCACAAACGAACTCACTCGAAATAGGTTCGTAGTAGATTTGTACGCGGTAGAGGTGGGAGCGAGAGGTATAACAGCGAAATCTCTCTATAACCTACTAAAGGACTTGGGCTTGTCCAGAACTCACATTAATGCATTCTTGGAACGTACATCGAAGGCAGCCCTAGTAGGTTCTTTTCAAATTTGGTTAGGTAGGGAGAGGAGCTTGGACAGTGGAGGTGAGCGTATAACGCGCGTTAGTTAAGGGGCCCCTTAAACCTACACTTGGGTCGCAAGTCCCAGGCACTGTTGAAGCTCCTCCCCCTGCAACGCGATGGACCCGGCACCCGCACGGTGAATCCATGGAATGCTGAGAAGTTTCGTCTCTATAATAATATACATACAAGTCTCACGGTATATACACACTACACCAAATACTAGCACTTGAGTTTTTAATTATATTTATTTTTTCACTTTCAATATAAGCCTATATTTGAACTTGTGTAGAAAACGTTAAAAAAATTGTCTGCATTGAAAAGAAATTCAAAAACTGCCCCTGGTTAAAACATTAATTTCAGGAATATATAAAATTTCAAACCATATCCATATGCGATTCGGGCCATTTATTTAAAGTAATTATGGGTATGGCTTCTATAACTTTTTGTAAATGACATAACTCTTAAAAATACATAGTAAAGAACTTAAATAAAGAACAACTTTGATATATTAAATAACTGATAAACAGAGTTATAATATCGATGTTGATACGACAAATATATCGGAGTTGGTGAGTGAGTGATTGATATTTTGTATTTTAGATTTGTGTTGTTTGGCTTCAGTTAAATATAATACATTATACTTTTTTATATTTATAGTTTGGTAATAAGAGTTTTATATTCTCAAACATGTTGAACAATTAGATGTTATCCGATGAACAACCTATTAGATGGTTATAAACCTTTTATTTGTTTCGAAGAACATTGTTTCTGATATAACTACATCTGAAACTGTATGAAAACCAAAGGAAGTTTATAAATCACCACCACCATTATTTTATAAAGAAATAACAGATCAAAAAAATCCTTGCATCAATAAAACTGTAATGCTTATATCTAGCCATGAATATTCTTTATATGATTCTTAGAAATTAATTGAAGATACATAATTCAATGTCCTACACATTGAATTAGAATGAAAAATACGAAATTAAGAGTAATTTAATACATAAAAGCAAAAAAGAAAATGAAATTATAAATGTAATTAAAAGTCGTGTCATGAATTTATCATAATTCTTATAAAATTCGTGAACATTAACAGAAATAAACAATAAGAAAAAAAATGTAACAGGCTCATGAAAACAACTTACACGACAAAAAACTTAAAGAAACGTAGCTTTAAAGGACTTGATGGTAATATTCTTGTTTGTTCTTTATCTATTAGATGTACAACATCAATACTCAATAATTCCACAACACTTAATAATGACAGCATAAATATCACAGAATAAAAGTCAGAACAAAACTTGATATGATTTAAAGAATAAAGATGTATATTTTGCGTCTTGACTCATCCTCTAACATAGTAAAAAAACTCTACTTTTATACTTCAGATTACATGCTTGCTTAATATTTTAAATCAAATTTCATTCTAACATAAGTAATAGTACTCATTAACTTTTTTTTTTTGTTAACTCATATTTTTTAAGTAATACTTTATTAGTGTTTATTAAACTACAAGTTAAATTAACAACTCGCTTAAAATTTCTGTAGTTTATGTACCAGTGTGATCAAGCCTTTCATTATGGAATTGTTATACGGTATATCATTTTAAGAACCAGAAGTAAAGCTTGTCACTTATTAAAAATCGTATTCCAGTGACCAATATTTAATTATTTCTATATAGGGGAGAGTCGGATATATCGTACCACTTTTCACTTTAACTCAAATATTTCGACTATAACACGTCTTATAATAATTAATACATATGTAAAATAAAGTTTCATATTTTAGCTTCCTAAGATGAAGAGAACAGATCCTTGGTATTATTCTAACATTATTAAAAATGCTTTTTTATAGAGGCTTGCCATCGGTACGATTTAGCCGACTAGTCGTTTTAATCGTACCACTAAGTCTTTAAATCGTACCATGGGTGTTTAAGTCGTACCACTGAATGAAAGACATTAAAATTCTCAATCAAATTATTTATTTTTAACTGTTAGGTGAGTAATAAAACAACATTATTTATATCTTTTAGGTAATAGAAACATAATTTTTAACTCTTAGGTTATATAAAGGAACTTATAAGCTTTCTCAGTAAAATAACATGATTATACTATGATAATGAGATCAATCAACATAACTAATAAAAATGAGACAAAACAAAAAACAGTAAACTATAATAATAAAGTAACAGTTAACAAGAATGTTATTTGTAATATAATTATTGTATAATAATAATAATAATAATTGTGCATATTTCTTAATGGAAGCAATCATGACAGAGGTCTGGATTCGAAGGACACGTCTCATGTAGCCACCGTTTACAGCGAACGCATTGAATCCAATCAACTTTTGGACCCTTCTTATCGTAGTAAGAACAATTGTACTTTCGACATATATTTTCAAGATAATCATCGCTGTCATCATCATCATCTAGTTCTACAACAAGTGTCTCTCCTGAATCATCGCTACTGGTGATGGAATGAGATCGTTTCCTCTTATAACTTTTGTTCTTGGCCTTGGGTAGTACTTACTATACGTACTTGCGGTAGTACTATAGGTACTTGCGGTTGGTAGTTGGGTAAATCGTACCAGTACAATTTAACCAACTGCCAGTGGTACGATTAAACCAACTAAGGCATTTCTAAAACAAAAGCAAATATCCGGCATAAACTCAAAACTTAGACCCGCAACAAAAACCCCCAATAATCTAGTATACTATTGTGGCATAATAAAAAAAAACTGAATAACTATAGCTTACCTTGATTACGAGTTATCTCCTTACGAATGTACGACAATATTTATATTAATTCCTACAAAAAATGTTTTTCTTTTTTACTTGCACAGTTGTTAACTCACGTCGATTTAAATTAGTGGGTGAAGAGGGATGGTACAGGGCCACGATTTCGCGTTGTCGGTGTAGAAAAAAATATTCATTAAATGGGAAATTTAGAAGTGGTACGATTTAAATGCTAGTACGATATAACCAACTCTCCCCTATATCTGTATATTTTATTTACTTTAACGTATTTATAATGAAAAAGGAAAAAAACTGCACCTTAGAAGATTATACAATGTATAATTTTTGAGTTAAAAGTATTAAAAAGTCACTTGAGAAGAGTCTTTGAGTTGGTAGGAATAAACTTGGTCAGATTATAATTTCTATATAATTTCTTTTAAGCTTCGAGACCCATTTAATACTCTCATTTGCTTCGCCCAGATGATGAAAAACCTCAGACTAAATAGTGCCAATATAATAACTACTTCATATTTAGTTATAACTTATTATCAATGACCATTTACACCCTTAGCTATTCTACTACATCGAACAATATTTTGTAAGAACAAACGAGTAACATTTTTAAACGATCCCGTTGTATTTCATTTTTTAACATTTATATCGCAGAACCCCATTACTTGTGTGACAATGTTTTTTTTTATAAAGTAGATTACACATACACGTAAAATAAAAACTATACAACATACTTGATATCAAATCTAATATATTGTTAATTTGTACTAGCAGACTGTTTCAAACAAATTGTATTTGATTGAAAGCAATCTAACTTTATTTGTTTTCAATCGTTTATAGTAAAATAGTTTTTGTGTGTATTGTACAAGTTTCTTCTCACGGCTTTACATGCAGATCTTATTTTATGTCTAAATCAAACCCAATTTTAGTGATTCTTTTGTTAAATGCTCGTTATTCATATATTTTATAATTTTTTTTAGACAATATTGTTTGGTTCAAAGTTTGCTGAAATAAATATTAATTTTCTTACATTATTTGTAGAGACGAAACAATTTTCTCTTTGTTACGATAGTTTCAATATGTAATAATATATTAAAAGCTAACAAAACAAAACAATGCTTCATAATTACCTACTGTGTGTAATTAAACTTTTAGAGAAGTTATTGCTTGTCTGTCAAATACACTGCAAAGGAATTGAAACGTTCAATTACTGGTTAGTTAAACCATCAGTCTACATCTAATCAAATGTTAATAAACGTGTAACAAAGGCCTTGTCCAGTAACGTTGTTAGGAAAGGGAAACCGCCTAGAGCGTTGAATATGAAGGGTAAACCAAAGTAACCGATAAGAATATAGAAAAAAGAAGCCAGAAAGAGAAAAGTGGGCTTGGGCTTTATATAAAGTGTGATATAATAAAGACACAAACGATGTAACGGTCACAGAATCTAAATATTCTGTTATTATTTTAGCAGCCTGTTATAAAAGTTATGCTAAATACTTTTCTTACTTCATACTCAGGAAAGTGATGTTCAAAAGCTTTTTGAGGCTAATACAGCAGCTAACATTAATGAGATTTAGATTAACAGTTTCATAGTTTATTCGTAATTTAGTATATTATCTCTTTACTTAATTACTGAAGTCCAGACTATTGTATGTCTTAGTAAATCTAAGGCAATGATAAAAAAGTTCTACTCCGGTTTTACAAGAATATATGTAGACATACAAGTTTCCTTTTTAAAATAACAACGCAACATTTGGACGAACATTGCTTATATAAAAGGAATATGTTAAACAACTTTTATTTTATAATAAATATGTATTTACCATTACTCATATTAAATAATGAAATAAGAAGTTATGAGCATATCTAGAACAGCTGTAGATTACTGTAGATGTGTAATAAACAGTGATAAAATATAATGGTTCCAATATAACTCTTATGGCTTTTATAGAAAATAGACAAACTAACACAGTTATGAGCTCTGTTTGCGACATGCTTTATTTTTCCATTACAATTTAATAAAAAGAAATAATTGACAGCTATTGTTGACTGATAAACTAAAACGTCGTTAGTATGTAGTTTATAGTCAAAAATAAAATACCGCGTAGTAAATCCGAAAATATTAGTTTCGTTAAATATTTATTTATCTTAGTATAGAATATTTTCATATAAACAAATATTTAGAGAACGTTTTTGCTGTGGTATTTTTTTAATCACTCTCTTTTACTGAACACATACGTTATCTAAATATCATTTTTGTACTACAACTAGGTTCCTACTATAAATATAAACAAG